GTGATCCTCTGCCTACCTCCCTGCCGTGGTTTTGGGTCTGACACATGAGCTCTGGTGAACCCCACGAGGGCAGGTGAAGTTGTTGTCACCTCGTGCCTCTGTCCCACCTCTCTAACAGAGGCTGTTGCCCCTGAAGTAGGTTTGAAGGACTCTCAGAGGCAGCCCGGGCTCTCGGCTCAGCCCTGCCCGTGGTTGTGGTTTGGGCTGGGATGCCGGGCTTGGTGCTGGAGTGGCCGAGACGTGAGACGTTCCCCCGCTGCGGGCCCTGCGGGCTCTTCGTGGGGGCAGAGTGGGCAGCTGCAGGCGTCGGTGCCTTGAACAGCTCCAGCAGCGTTGCCCAGATGCTCAGCAAAGCCTTCCAGAGGAGTCGGTTCAAAGCTCCCCGTGGCACCGCGGCCATCCAGGAGGGCAGGGGGGGCTCAGAGGGGCTTTGTGGTGGTCTGAAGGCACCACAGGGAAGCACAGGCTGCTAGTAGCCTGACCGAAAATAAGCAAAGCCGAAATAACCTTGCAGAAATAACCGTTATGACTATAATGGAGTGAACTAAGCAACGGAGAGGCCGTGACAGCAAGAGGCAACAGAGAGCATCCCTCACGCCGCGCGACCGCCCGGCAAACCAAACCAGGGCAGCCCAGCACCGCGCGCCGCTGCAGCCGACTGCTGTGGCATCAACCCTCCTCCTACCGAACCAACGCAGGGACCCTTCAAAAGTGCTAGTTCTCTTGATTAATAAAATAAAAAAGAGAGAAAAATAAGGAAAAAATAAGCAGCTCCCCAGGCAGTTTCTTTCCTCGATATGTCTCCAGCAGCAGATACCCAGCACAATGACACAAATCCTTGTTGGGTGCTTGAGATTAACATTTGGGTTATTGCCCTGTCAAGTGCGTGGTACAGGAATTGATTTCACATTTAGCTGCTGCTGCGATGATCTATGCAAGAAAAAATTGTGTTATTAATCCTTAAAACAAAAAAAAAACCCCAAACCTCCCAGCGCATTGCTCTGGAGTTTGGTTGCCTCTGAGGACAGACCGGGACCTCAAAAATAAACCGAAAAGCTTCCCCGCGACAGGCTGAGGGCTCAGCAGAAGATGCAGAGCCTGCAGACACGCGTTTGTCCCTGGCTCCACCAGCTCGCGCAAGGGAGCCGCGGCCACCCAAGACAGGTCGTACGCGACAGCCCCCAAAGGACTCCGAAGTCCTAGACTTTGTGCTCCCTTCCTCAGACAGCGAGCATCTGCTCTCCTTCCCACCGCCAGCAGGATCGGGTAGCGTCGTGCGTGGAGATGCCCGGGAGGAGTATCTAACGGGAATGGATCTGCCTCGACAAAACTCCTCGGGAGCTACCTTGGAGGAGTCTGGGGCTTCTATCTGGGACTTCAGCTTCTCCTGGAGAAGCTGGGAGTTTTCCTGGAGAGCTACTGGGCATGGACCTTCCCCCAACACACACAATGCTTTTGGGAGCCCCAGACTCCTCCGAGGTAGCTACCCGAGGAGTCTTGTGTACGTTAAGGCAGGTCCATGCCCGTAGCTCTTCAGGACTCCCCCCAAGCACCTCCAAGAGTGTTCTGGCTTCTTCTGGAGACAGCTGAAGTCCTGGGAAGCAGCTCCAGTCTCCTCCTAGGTAGTTAGCTGAGGAGTTTTGTTCATGGCAGGGGGGTTGGAACTAGATGGTCTTTAAGGTCCCTTCCAACCCAAACCATTCTATGATTCTATGTTTGGGGGAGGAAAGATGTGAGACAAATCACATGCCACCTGAAAAGTCATAAATTAACCAACCTGAACCAAGAAACAGCAATTAACAAGACATGACTCGTTAGGATACCGATGGACTACAAAGTCCCCAGACCACCCTGCTCTTCTGATGTTGTGACAACACCCTGACCCATGCCTGGGACCTAGGAGACGATTTCCTCCATGCCATGGAGGTGTACATGGGAGGTGGGCACAGGGCACCCACGCGAAGAGGGCCATCGCCCTCCTGTCTCCTCTCGTCACTCCTATCTTCGGCCGTGGTCTGGCAGCCCAACCGCTCCTGCACCGACCTGTCTCTGGGGTGGTTTTTCCTTAGCAGTATCCTCATGACACAGCCTTCACTGTCACACCTTCCCAGTGACATAGGACAATCCAATTCCCAGGCTTTTTCCTCAAGTTTCCAACCCTCCCATCTTTGCCTAAAGATGTCATTTACTCCACCAGGAGACCTCAGCATCATCCTGTTGCCTGGTGTTAAATGGAGAAGAGGCTGACTGGCTGGGTCACATTTTTTTGGAAGGGACTATTGATCTGGAGCATTTCAGCTCCTCTCCAGGACATCTCCTGCAGCCGTCGTCCCTCGCGCTGCTCACTGTCACCTTCCGAACAGCCCTTGTGCAAACTCTGACGCCGAAACACGGATTTACCTCATCGAACAGCTGCAGCATGATGGTGAGGACATCTGGGTGGGCTTTGTCAACCTCGTCGAAGAGCACCACAGCGTTTGGACACTGCCTCAGCTTTTTGGTGAGCTGTCCGCCCTCTTCATGGCCCACATAGCCAGGCGGAGAGCCGATAAACTTGGCGACCTAGCAGGAAGCAACAAGACACGTGAAAGCTGATGGATGCCAGAACGAAGCCCTCTCGGTAGCTCAGCAGGCAGCCATGACTCTTTGGCGCAGACAAATCAAGCTCTACATTCTTTGTGACATCTATCGCACCCCGGGTATCCCAAAATCAGCTTAATCAGCAACAATTTTGCAAAATGCAGATTGGTGGCTGCTGAGCAGTTACCTCACCCAGAGCTTTAACCAGCAGAGTCTGCAGGAGCAGCCACCAGCACAACCCCTGCTTCTCTAAACAGTGTCCGTGACCCACCCCAGCTGCCCAAGACCTAGTCATCTGCCTGGACTTGCACAAAGCATTTGACACTGTCCCGCATGACATCATTGTCTCTAAATTGGAGAGACATGGATTTGTCGGACGGACCACGCGGTGGATAAGGAATTGGCTGGATGGTCGCACTCGAAGAGTTGCGGTCAACGGCTTGATGTCCAAGTGGAGAGCAGTGACGAGTAGCGTTCTTCAGGGGTGGGTTTTGGGACTGGCGCTGTTTAACATCTTTGT